AGAAGAAGAAGAAGAAGAAGAAGAAGAAGAAGAAGAAGAAGAAGAAGAAGCCATGCACACTCTGTCACATGGCCATGTCCACCTAGTCATGCCCACAGAACCAGTTGTTAAAAAATGTGGATCCCACCTCTGTCCAGAACATGTTGCTAAAGGGAAAAACAAGATTCATCTCTTCTGGATGTCTGATGTTACAAACTTTGAGAATCTGTGTTTAATTTGTTTCCCTTCATGTTGGGAAACCGTAGAGACTTTTGCCAAAAGATTTATATATATAAATCCCTAAGCCTGCTTATGATAACTACCAGATGACTTTGTAAAACCAGGGACTTCTGCTATCTTAATCATGAAAAAAAAAAAAACCATTGCATCTCCCACCAGCCTGGGAATTGTTTTAACTTCCAAGTACATGACCGAAAGTTGTTAAACGTTTCAAAAGTAGGCTCTTGCGTGAATCATATCTGACATATAATTGGAAAACTTCCTTAGGAAGACAGAAAGAAACATTGCCTGGCGGCCTCCGAGGGATGTTTCGTGGGGCTGTGAAAAGGACAATTCGTAAAGCAATTTTGCAGAAGCCAAGAACTGTAGCCGAAAAGGTTGACATGGCCTTTGGTTCTGGAAAGTGTGAATGGGGCTACTTGTCCCACATCAATGGGATGTGAGAATAACCTTGGGACACAGAAGCCACTCCTAGACAACAACGGGAAAGATTGAGGGCAGAAGAAGAAGGGGACGACAGAGAAGGAGGGGGCTGGAGGGTGTCACTGAAGCAGTCGGCATGAGCTTAAATGGACTCTGGAGGATGGTAGAGGACAGGGAGGCCTGGAGGAATGTTGTCCATGGGGTCATGATGGGTTGGACCCCACTTCACAACTACCACCAACAAACAAGATGAGATATCTTGCTGGATTTGGGTCTGGCTAGTCTAGAGAAAAGAAGGATTAGGAGTGACATGATAGCCCTCCTCCAGTATTTGAGGGGCTGCCACAAAGAGGAGGGGATCAACCGATTTGCCAAAGCACCATAAGGCAAGATAAGAAACAACGGATGTAAAACTAAGCAAGGAGAGAAGCAACCTGGAATCAAGGAGAAGCTTCCTTGAGTTTTAACCAGTGGAACTGCTGGCCACCAGAAGTTGTGGGTGCTCCATGACTGGATGTTTCTTTAGACTAGACTAGACTAAACTAGAGTAGATTAGACTAAACTAGACTAGACTAGACTGGAATAGAGTAGAGTCGAGTCGAGTCGAGTC